ATCTCTTTTCAATTTTTACTTTTCTAGCTCCAGTTTCATTTTCCATCTAGCTTTTCCATCTTTGTTCATTCTCAGTTTAACTTCTACACAATTCCGTCCAATAATATTCTTTGTTTTAATATATTGCAGAAGATTTCACTTTCTTTGTAATTTTTCTTCCTGTCTTTTCTTTTTAACAATAGTAGTAAATTTTTCTCTTCTGTCATGTTTTATTTTTATTAATTCCATTATGTTTTTTTTCTTGTGTTAGATTTGCTGTAGTTGTGAGAAAGATTGGCTTTGTGATTTCACAATTTTCTGGTTTTATTTTCTTGGTAATAAGTGACTCTGATCGACAGTTTTTCTCTGTACCTATCTTTCTACACATTTCTGTAAGAATTATCTTCACTTCAGTATGCGTTTCACGTGGTCAAGAACCCTTTGGTTTTTTGCAGGGGAATTCTGTTCCATTATACCGTTCATTCGTTTTTAGGGCACCTCGATGTGGTGTAATGGTTAGCAAGCTTGTCTCGCTAGAACTATTACGACTGAGTAGTGAGTTCGATCCTCACTGGGTACCCCATACTTTCGGCCTTGTGCCACATCTGAGCTACGCTTGGAAAATCACTACCGTTCATTCGTTTACTATACACCTTGGTGGTGGTGGTTATTGTTATTATTATTATTGTTATTATTTCTTCAGGAGGCACGGTGGTATAATGGATAGCGGCTCAGATGGAGGAATCGAAAAAAAAACTCCCTACTATTCTTAAAAAGAAAAGCCGAGTTCGAATTCTAATCGAATCCATTACATTCACTTTCGTGCTAATACACTCGGGAAAGGTATGAATCCTTTTCTTCTCCCCCGGTCTAGGACAGCTCTGAATTCATAACATGCGGGGTTGTTTGGGGACCTTGTGGCACATTGTGCACCATCCCCCCCACCACGCATTCGGCTCTTTCAAAAAGTGTGGGTGATTCTGCACAAAGCCTTCACCAATATAATCAAATGATTTGTACAGGTAATTTCTAGGAACTGAATTGCTTGACCCTCAAAAAGTCCACTTATTATTATTATTATTATTATTATTATAGATTTAACAGAGTGATTATTGTAATAGTACTAAAATATTGGTTCTTCAATTGATTCTGATGAGAGTGGAAATCGATATACGTTAAATGTCCTCAAATCTCAAGTAATGACATTATTTTCGCCGAATCGACAATTAGAAAGAAAGTGATTGTCGATTTGTCAGGAATTAAGGTAATTATTGCTGAAAGAAAGGAGTTATTATATGTAGAATGTAAATCCATTTGCAATAAAAATGAATTGAACACCAGGAAAAAACGCATTGCCATTTGTCAGCAAGCGTTACTGATAAAATAGGGTTTATTATGTATATAATATAAATGCATTGCTAATGATTTTCCTATAAAACTACAATGTAAGTTAGGAAGGAAGCAATTGTTAGTGGTCAGGAATGAATAGAAGCATTACTCATAGAATAAGAGTCGTATAAGATAAAGAAATGGCCAATGATTTTCCTATAAAAATGCATTGAAAATCAGAGAGGAAAGAATTGTTCAGAATCAGAAATTAAAGCACAGTTGTCCGCCAGTTTTCACCGGTGATAGAATTAACATTTAACTATCTTATCCTGTCAGCCCAATAATTCTTCCCAATATCCATCATCTGCTTCCATATTAAGTTTAAATTATTTCACAACTTGACTTCCACTGAGGATTCTGGATGTTGAAAATACTAACCCGAATAAATCGTGTAATATTGACTATACTTTATGTCAGATGTTTATATCAGAAGATGAATGACACGTGTCGATATAATTCATGTAAAAGTCGAGTTACCTTGATTAATTCGGCAATGGATCGTTTTAAAGATTTTAATGTAAATGTCAGACTTTGAATAGCACGTTTTACCACTACAGAATTCTTTATTAATAAGTTTTAAAAATACCATCTGCTTTTAAATTCTTAAGCTATCATTAAGTGAATCGTGAAGACTTAGTTTCGTTTGATGACCAAGAAATACAATGGAGAACCAAAGAATAGAATTGATGCCACGATATAAATTGAAGGAACCAAACAAGAGTAGATTTATTTCACACTGTACGAAAACTAGAGCTCAAAATAATGTTTACTCTGTAAAGGCCTTCTCTATTAGTTCAACAGTATCAGGCAAACTTCCAGATTCGAAAAGTTGGACTTATTTAGTCTTGACTTAATGTTCTGACGTTAGTATGAGATTTTGACACAGATTTTTGTTAAACTTGTGAAGATGTGTCTTCCAGCACGCACGTTTGATCTATCTATCTATCTATCTATCTATCTATCTATCTATCTATCTTGTGGAATTATTCTCCCCACCCTACGGCGAGATTTTGGAATTATTGGCCCTTGATGATTTACAGGCGGTACGTGATTTACAAGCCTCGATCTCTTTCTCGGTGACTTTTCATAGTGAAAAGACTTATTCTTTTTGCTCCTGTAAACTGGAAGTAATCGACTACAGATACTTAAAGCTGTTTTGATCTTTTCACATTTCATTTATCATCTTTTATTTTGTCAAATGTCCTGTCAATATATTTGTTAATATTTCTTTGTTCAAATTCTATGTTTTATTATTCCTTTTGGATATATACGAGCCCCACCAAAAGCGGGTAACTGTACCAGGAGCTTGTAACTTCCCATCATAAAAATATATACCCGCTACAATATATATATATATATATATATATATATATATATATATATATATATATAGAGGTACCTCCAAAAATTCGGTATACCTAAAGTTTGAATATATTTTTCATAAAGGAAAAATCCTTTTCGGAGCTTTCCAACCGCTTCAATTGAAAGCTAAAGGATTAAATTTTCTAATTCCAGAAAAAAATACTGTGGGATATTTCCAATAGAAATTTGAATGATTTTTAGTCGATGCTTCTGAAAAACCAATCGAAACGGCCATTTTTAATTTTTTTTAGAGAAATGTAAACAAACTTATTTTTGGGGCTTGAAAATCTCGCTAAAATAAGATATACATTTCTGAAATGTTACTATAGTAAAATTACCAAATTTAAAGTTAAATTAATCTGTTCTGAAGCAAAAATCACTTATAGCATAAAATTTTCTAGACAAGCATTTCTTGATCACGGGGTCTTATTATTTTCATGTCCCCATCGATAATTTGATGGCTGAATGTGTTGACAGGTTTAGTACAGTGCATCAAAAGTGACATAACGTTTTTTTGTTTGTTTCTTATAATAATTTAAAATACTATAAAAATTTCTTACATTATTGAGTTACCTCTATCTCTTTCATTATTTAATAGCTAAGATAATAACTAATTTTATTAATTATTAATATTACATTAAGTTATTACATTTTTAATTTAATAACTGAGATAATAACTAATAAAATTATTATTATATTAATAATTAAAATATCTCGCTGAGTTATTAATTGTTTAAATTGATAAATGTGATAATTTTATTATCTCAATTTAATTTTTGATTTAATAATTGAGAGTAAGATAAGACCTTTACATGTCAAGAGGCTTTCCTCAAGGAGGAGACAAGCTTTGAAACACATGACCTTTTAACCATAATGTCACTTATGAGAAATGCTAAAAAAATATAACATTTTGACGCACAAAAAAAAAAAAAATATTTTTAATTATGGTAAAAAGTTTTTGTAGCATTATTTGTATTAAGCTTTTAATTTTCACTTAGTAAATATAGTCTTCGCTTAAAAACTTAATAACCGACCCCACACTCTGCATGAAAGAATTTTAAAACATTCTTTTAAAATTAAAGAAAAATGAAAAAAATTAAAAGAAAAATGCAAACAATTCTTGTAAAAATTCTTTATTCATCGAATTTTTTTTTCTTCTTCAGATAATAATGTCCTTTATGTATTTTATTTATAAAAGGAAATAAAAGTCTATCTAATTTGATAATTAGATAGTTTATGGCAGTTTTCATTTTACGATTTGGAGCAGATTTTTAAAAGGTGGAAATAGTTGTGAAAAAAGAAAATTGATTACTTAATTTCTCCAAGGAGTCCTGCTTATAATTAATATAAAACAACTTGCGAGCTCTTTGAAATTTTTATAAAATTTCATAAAATTAATTTATGTGTGTGTGTGTGTGTGGGGGGGGTAACAGGTGTAAAAAAAGAATATATTTTTACCAAGATTTTCTGAACATAAAAAATTAAAAAATAAATTCATTCATTTTTGAATAAGTCCTGAAAGTTTCATTAAAATAAGACAATTATTTGATTTTTGCAAGAATTTCCAATTAAATGGGTTTCCCCTGAAACTGCTACAGTAAAAAATGGCGATGACCACAAGTCTTACCAAGTTAACAAAATATTAAAAAAAAATGAGATTTTTGACCCAAATTTAGAATGTGTTAGAAAGAAGGAAAAATTTTAAAAAATATTTAAAAAATACTTTGTTCTTTCATCTTAATAATAATATAAACATTTTAATGATGAAACTTTGTTTTTATTAAGTTTCGGACCTAAAAGTTTAATGGTCAGAGTTGAATCAGACAAAGAAACTGTAGTATTAAAATGTGCTCAATACACGTGTGAAAAAACATGTAGTAGTTTAACTTTAAACATTAGAAGATCAGTTGAATCCATTACGTTGGTTTTAACTTATGTTATCCTCAGGCAAATTTTATCATTTGACCTCCAAACGCTTTATTCTTTTTTGTTTTTAAAAAGAAGAATCCAAGTCATGAGTCCGACATACAAAATATTCTCTTAAGATCATATGAGTATAAAGTATGTACATTTCAATAAAAATTCCCCACCGATACATTTATAATACCCTTGCTTCTTCTTCTTCTTCTTCTTCTTCTTCTTCTTCTTCTTCTTCTTCTTCTTATTCTTCTCCCTTTCTATCACAACGTAGTGCGTTTCTGTCTTTATTTTTTTAAAAATCATATAGCGTTCATTATTTGTTTTTTTTCTCTCAATAAAGCGTTGGGAGGTCAATTGATAAAAACCGTCTGAGGATAGATAGATAGATAGATAGATAGATAGATAGATAGATAGATAGATAGATAGATAGATAGATAGATAGATAGATAAGACTTAACATGTGATTTTGATGAACAGGCTGTCGATTCAAGTAAGCTGAGAAAAATGACTCGTCACAGTTAATTATAAAAATAATCGCTAACAAAGCGTCGTATAAAAATGAAGTTAACATTGTTAAATTGAACAAATAAGATAGCGCCCAGAGAGTATAACATGATTAAAATTGATTTTCTGGTGACCGTAAAGATACTTGTAGCCCAAACGGTAATAGCCGCTGCTACAGTTACACAGATTTTTACAAATCAAAGAGGATTTAATGTGGAATCTCACTAGGAACGTATTCATTATTATTTTTTATGTGTGCTGTTTACTCACTGCCGTAGAGCGACGGTCAGAGGAAAAGGCTAAAAAGATAAATTCTAAAAATTAGGATGAAAGAAAATGAAAAGTCAGAATAATAAGATAATAATTTAAAAGTTCAAAGAATAAAAACATTGAACAGCTAAAATATTGAAAAAATATATTTTTATTATCATTTTTTGATTTTTTTTTTTTTTTGTTTACATACACACAATTGTTTACAGTTTGTGAATTGCAAAGTATATGATCATTAAGAAAGAAAATAGAATCAGTTTTGAATAGACGAGCGCCTTCTGTCCGCTTCGGCTCTGATGGTTTCTGTATTCGAGCGAAGTAGATTTTGTGCTTCTTGAATCGAAGGGTTTCTCAGTCGGGGAAACATGCTTCACTGCCCCAATCCCGCTGTTACTATCAATGTTTCGATTCCCAGGCTTCAAGTCGGACTCAGGGGTGGTGTTGGGTAAATCGGTGTTGATGTTTGAGGATGGGACAACAGTCGAGGGTTTCGGACTGTTGAGGTCCTTCCCGTTCGACACTGGACGTTCGGTACGTCTGGACATCGAACCAGAAACCGTACTTGGGGCCATCTCGACTGCCATCTTAGTCTTTTTCGACTTCTTCTTTCTTTTCTCGGTCTTCTGTTTGCTGGAAGCTTCGGCAGAGCCCTCGGCCGAACCCTCCCTGTCACCCGAAGCTGAACCCTCACGATCACCAGAAGCGGAACCTTCTTTCATGGTACCATCAGCTGCCTCTTTGTTTTTGCTGCCTCCGGATGAAATCGAGTGGATGTGTCCATTTTCGCCGTTCTTTCTGTGAGATGGATCGAACGGTTCAGCTTCGTCTGTGTATAGACGGTTTGGGTCACGGGTCGAAGGAATTGTCGGATTGACTGTGGCCCGAGGAAGTATAGAAGAAAAATGATCTGTGCGTTTGAAAGATTTTTTGTGGCAAATCAGCTCGAGGTTACTGTCGGACTTTTCGGTACACGCAGATTCGATAAGGCTGTGACAATCGCCTTGTTCTTCGACGAGTTTTGTCAAGAACTTCTCTCTTGGTGTGTAGCACATATTTTCAAGAGCAAATAATTCCTGAATCTTGTCTGGCAGGGCGTAATTTGAGCGTAGGAATCTGGCTACCTCACAGGTACAAGGGAACTGGTTCAGGACCTGCGTAGTGATGTTAACGTGCCAAAAGAGACGTCCGAAAGGATTGCAAGAGAAACCAGTAAACTTGTTGAATTCCATCTGATAATGTTGGATGTTGGTCACATTGCGAAAGGTTAGAGCGGGGAGAACAGGAAAAAAGTTGTAAGAGAATTCGATCTTATTGACAAAATTAATATTGTTAAAGCTATACGGTCCAACTGTCTGGAAGTTACATTTGTAAATCTCAAGAGATGTGAGGTTTTTTAGATCGTTAAAGGCGAAACTGTAGATACGCACAATTCGTGAGGTTTTTATAGAAACCGAAGCCATCTGGGAAATGAAGCGAAAAGCACCGGCTTCGATTTGATTGATGTCACAGTTCTCAATGTGTATTTTGATGTTGCCCAAGTTGCTGAAGGCACATGGGCGGATAGAACTGATCTTGCTACTCAAGATCTTCACCTCTTGAAGATGAGGCAGGTCGGAAAGAGCACCGGGAGGGATTATAGAACCATTCAATTGGTACACGTCCAGGTAGCGCAGATGACGCGGCAGTTTGGTAGGGAAGGTCCTCATGTTCTTGCAAGTGGCTTTGCCGCGCAAGCACTCGCACCCACGTTCGCATGGTTGGTCCCATACTGCTTGACCGGGCGCCACCAGCAGGGTCAAAAACAGAAGCTGAGCGAACAACATAGGTAAACTCCGGAAAAACTGAAAGAAAAAGAAAGAAAAAATTATTTTAAAACTTTATTTGAATTTAACATTCTTTGTATGGATGGAGTAAAAAATTGAATCTGGATCAAGTAAGATTAAGTTACTTGCATTATTTACATTATTCGGACTGCTTCACCTTCATTGATATATTCACAACGTTTCGGCCGTTGTACCCTCCGGCCTTCTTCAGGCGAGTGGAATTTCGAACTGAACCCTTTATTTTGTCCACCAGGGTAGATTGTTCTAGTTCCATGTGCCATGCCCCTTCCGTGTGTCTCAGTTATTTCCCTTTAACACAATTCTCCAAGTTTTTTGGTTCATTACTGCTGGAGCCTGGTATTGAACTAGCCACTGGATCTACCAACGCCTTTATCCAGTGGGCCAAGTGTCCTTGAGGACGTTGTGAATGTGACGATGAAGATGAGGATAACAGTCCGAGTAATGTAAATAATGCAAGTAATCATAATACCTCATCTCAGAGATATAGACAGATATATAGAGAGACATAGACATAAAGGCCGGAGCGTACAACGGCTGAAACGTTGTGAATATGGCAATGAAGATGAGGATAACAGTCCGAATAATGTAAATAATGCAAGTAATCATAAATACCTCATCTCAGATATAGACATATAAGATTAAATTCTTGAATAACCTATACCGATAGACACCTGCCTTTTCTTTTTTCTCTGTCACCTCATTTGTATTCGCATCACATTTCAAGCGCCCTACACATCTTCAGGCAAACAGGCTTCTTATTCTAGCCGACCGTTCATCTCAACCAACAACTGGACTTCTGTGCAAAAATGAACGTTTCTAGTGCGTACTGATGACCAAACTAGACATTATCTTGTGCAATCCCAAGTCTGAACGTGACACCGTTGAGAAGAGCCGTCGAGTATTATGTTAGCGTGAAGTCACAAGTCATTGTGGCCGAGGGTTTCAGTGTACAGCTCTTATTGAAACTGTTGATCATGCCAGATTATGCACTGTAATACATCATCAAGTAGAAGCTCATGAAGTTTTATTTGACTAATTCAAGCTCTAGCGCTGAAAACGTTTATTTTTTTTGTATAGTGGATGGTTACAAGCGAGAGGGGAGATGCGATGTGCTTATATCATTACCACGCGCATTCTCTCCCAAAAACTGTAATTAAAGTCCGCCGAATGCACTAGAAACCACAGATTAGCTCTTTAGGTGTGGAAGAAGCACAAATGTGCCTGAGCAGGCGTCTACAACAGGGATTGGCTAGTTACCGTAGCAGACCAGTAAACTTGAAAATGAGTAATCAACCATTGCATATCTAATAAATGTAATATTATCCCTATATTTACGCACGGATTACTATAAAAAGTAACTGGAAATCCAGATATTGGTCGAAAAATCAAGACAAAATCATTCATTTACGTATGAAAACCACTTTTGGTTCTTTGCGGTTATTACAAATCCAGAGACAAAAATAAGTTAAAATTCATGCGACCAATAAATTGCAAGGGAAATAATCATGTTATGTAAAGCTGGAGTTATTTCCCCTGCTTCAAAATTTTTCGGCCATAAAAAGTATATGTTCAAAATTCTGATATTGAAAGTTAAAAAAAACAGAAAAAAATCTGAAAGAAAAAGCAATCTTGTTTTTAATAAATAAAAGAGGAACATTAAATGGTCAGATGTTCGCCTAACGTGTAATACTACCAGTGGCTATGTAATTTATTCATTGTTGATTTCTATGGCAGGTATCTTTAACGAAAATCTGATATCTTATCGAAAAATATTAATTAAAATTCAAAAGTGAGTTCTTCCAATTTCTTTTTTACTTTCTTGACAAAAATGTGCCCAAATTTGGGTCTCACAACGAAAAATAAAAAAATTTAATTAATAAAAATTGAATGAAACTAGGTACCATTAAAAATGGTTGTGTTTTTTTATGAAATGGAAAAAAAAAATCGCTACCTGCTGTTTTAAAATATTTGCCAAAAATCAGATACAAACGACATTTTCAGTACTTATTCATTAATAAATGAAGTGAATACTGAATAGATTTTATATTTTATTAGAAGACTTTCTGGAAATATTTTTTTGGGAGGTGGGGTCTGTTACAAGCCCCCACTCCCCCGCAACTTTGAATATCTTGTGTTATTTTTTTTAATTTGGAAGTATTTGTCAAATTTTTTACAACTACATACAGAAAAATCACCGAAGATGTTATTTCAGTAAAAAACAAAAACAAAACAAAAACAAAACAAAAAAAAAACAAAGCAAAACAGAACAAAAAAAAACGAAATTTACCAAAAATAATTCACTTAAACTAAAAAATTACATTTTTCTGACAGTTGGTATTTGTATAATTTAATAAAACAAGTTATTTTCTTTTAGATTGCACAAAAAAATTTACATTTAATATTCATTTTAATAAAAAAATTTCAGTTGGATTTAGAAATTCATTCCGTTACTGTTCCTCAGAAGAGTTTTTACCCATTAAATAAAGACATGATTGGAAGATTTTCTAGTGCGAACCTTTTTTCTTCTAGCAATTGTTAGATTATTTTTCATATAGATGTTCAAAAACGAAATAATTCTAAATTAACGAATTTGAATACTTTTCTATATCGGAAGAGAAATATGATATATGATAAGTCGATAATCCTTAAATTCAGAAGAATAAAAAAAAAAGACACATTGGGTGTAATTAGATATTTTATGACATCAAACAGTTAAATAAAAAAAAAAAAAGCAACGTATTAAAATCAAAAGTATCATTTAATTAAAAAGAAATAATTACTTCTAATGTATTATAAAAAAATAAAATTATTCATTCTACTAAGCTTCACAAAATCGTATAGAATACAAATATATTATCTTCATTATATCTGTGTTGGTGTTCCGTATTTCTTTATATTCAATTTTTAATTTTTCGCGCGGCTTTTGAAGGGGTGTAATTATCCATTTTTTATTTTTAACTTTTGACCCGCACCCAGGCTACTGCGTGTAAATAAATGTTATTTTCATTAAGTTTTAAGTAAAAAGTAAACGTTCCTTTTACAAAATCCTGTTAATTAATTCCTAAATCTACTAAATTACTTCGAAACATATTTCTACGATAAATATTTGATTTTTAAGACATTTTTAAATTTTAATAAATTTGTTGTTTACACTTCCGTCTATGTTTTAAAAATGCCTAAGAAATTTATTTATTGACGGAAATTAATTTTTCATTTTAATTCGCATTAACCCTAGGCTATTATCTTTCAAATAAAATTAAAATTTAAATTCAAAGAAGGCATATAAATTATTTAAAATTCATTTAACGTGTTTTTTTTTTTGTTGACGATGTTGGTGACGGTACCTCAGTTAACCGGCAACGAAATGAAATATTTGCCTTCAGTCAGCAAAAATCACAAAGGCCACACTGATTTACAAAAACAAGATATGAATTCAAAACCTGCGGAGGGTCGCTTGGGACCCTGTGGCACGTAGTGCACCAAGTCTCTGTATTCGGCCTTTCAAAAAGTGTAGATGGTCCTGCACAAAACCTTTACCACTATAATCAAATCTCACGTCTTGTATCCGAAAATGCTATTGGAAATGAGTTATTGTTTTTGGAGCGCGCAGTAGATACAACAATACATATATTTTCGTTGTCCTCTTATTACTAAGAGAAAAAACAAGAACAACATCTACTCTATACCTGAAGATGTCTGTAGGAACAGACGATAGCTTGTAGTAAAAATAAGAACTAATACGGCAGAAATTTATAGAAACAAGGATCTTTTCATTCATAACGGATTCGGAGGTTTTTGTATATTATTTGAATTGTTTGCGACGATGGATTTCTCGCCAATTAACTCATTAACCTTTGCATTTGTTTTTGTGTGAATAATTCATGAATATATATATATATATATATATATATATATCAAGTCTAGTTCACACTTCTCCCCGATTTTTTGAACATGAGTAGAGGGTTATCGCTTTTTTCCTGTTTACGATTTGGTTTCCTGTTATTTCGAAAGTTTTACCATTCTCTTCCACTAATTGTAGCCCATTGCATCTTAGTGGCATTATCTCCTTACTTAGGGTGAATTGATAAAAAAAATTATCTATCGCAGTTCAGGCTATTCATATCTATCTATCTATTTCAGTTGGTTCGTATCTATTTAACTATCTCTGTTGTGTTTATCTTTCTTTTTTTTTTTTGATGTTCACCAAATCCAAGGCACAAAAGCCACTCAATGTAGAGGGTTAATGAATGATGTTCTTGTATGACCGTAACATGAGGAGGAAAGAAGCGCAGTTTATGAGGACATATAGGATAGATAGAGGTTAATCCTAGACTTGAAGGCGTTAAGATTGTCGTCATCGGGAAAGTATTCTGGCCGGTGTTAGCTGCGAAGATCCGAAGCGATGGAGCTGAGGAATGAAGCTCATCAGAACATTTAGCATGAAAAGAACGCGAGACTTGTGACATTTCGTCTGGGGGAGATGGCTTGTAGGGTGGAAAATAAGGCCGTCTAGTCGATGTTGAACTCTATTAACGCTGACCAGTGAAGACTGTTCAGCGCCATCCCAGATATGGCAGCAATACTCCATTATTTTGTCTGATTTGGCTCTCGCCATCTCTCTTCTCTCTCTCTTCTCTCTCTCTCTCTATATATATATATATATAAAATAATATGTATTTTAATCTTTTATTTAAAAAACAGCATTTATATATTTAGAAGCGTCCCTCGTGTGTGAGCATACATATATATATGTGTGTGTGTGTTTGTGTTTGTGTTTGTGTTTGTGTGTGTGTGTACGTACTGTCAGTATTTTGTAAGGTTTCTTTGATGATTTCTGTTTTATTCTAAAATATTTTCGACAGTCAATGAGACGAAATGTCTTTTGCAAGAATCCGGAATGGTGGAAAGATTGTGTGGATTAGGAAGGAAAGCGATGAAAGATGAAGAAATACGACAACGAGAAAGTAGGAGGAAAAAAA